GCTGGATGATGGGAACTCTTAAGTATGATCCAGGGGGAAAACATTTCATTTCCAACACAAATCCTGGACAGAACAACTTCTGTCTTAATTACAGGAATAAAATGTTTTGTTTTAATCACACTAAGGTGTTGGTTACTGGGAACTGAGCCCACTGATCCCGACATTCACAGAGGTTGTCCAGGTAGTTTAAAACTCTGCAAAATCATGAGAAATCTTATTTCAATTGAGTGTAGACTGAGCATTGGTGTATTTGCATGTTCTTTGTTGTTCATTGGCAACAACTTCTAGCTTGTATCCCCTAGTTCATTGATTCTGATTTACTCGTCTGTCTCAACCATGGACTTTTCTCACAGTGTGTGGTACCTGGCTCATTCCAATTGCTACCCATGACCCAGGTTTGACACGATGGAAATTTTAATGCACTTTCATTTCTAGTAACAGGATCCCATTGTGTTTGTATGAGTAGGATTCATACAATCAAAGATACTGATTGGCCTAAAAATGATTTTAAAAACTCTAAATTAGATATAGCTGGCAAATCTTGAAAAATAGTCTTGTTTGCAGTAGAATCTGGCTTCATTTTGAGAAACCCATCAAATTCCTAACCTTGCTCTCCATGAAACTCTCTATGACCTGTTACCTGTTATAGAAAGTGTTAAACCTGCTAGCTCCCCAGCATAAAAAAGAATATTTAGATGAAAGAATAATCAATCTTTCATAAATAATATACATGGGTGGATACATTATGTATTCAAAGCTGCAGTCAGATGGTTGAGGAGAATGATAATTTATGCTGCTGAATATCTCAGGAATGAATCTAGGAACAGATCAAACAAAAAAGTTATAAAATAGGAATTATAGGTAATGAAGAGCTCCTTGTAGCACAGGCATTTTTCAGGCTTCTATGCATAATTAAAAGATACGAGGTCAGGGGAAAGCTTAAAGGTGATTATGTCAGGAATCATTTGTTAGTCTTTTATTATGCAATACTCAACTAGTGTTTATTTTATTCATAATGTGATAATATGAAACAAATGGCATTTAAACATTCATACCTTTAAACAAAATAACATAGCATGCTATGAGTAAACACAGGTGGAAGAGCCAAAGCATGTTCCTGTTTGATTTCTGTTTTAGCAGAACCCTTGTTATACTCTTCCAAATACCCAATTCATGCCTACATAGCAGAGATGGAGAGATAATGAATCAACTTAGAAATGACTCCCTGAAAAATAATCTAGGGGGTAATGAATATTGCCTCTTCTGAGTCTTGCTAGGCATTCTTGAGAAGAAGTTTAGAGTGGTGTATTGGAACAGTACAGGAAAGAGAAGAATGAACTAACTAAGGGCTCTGAGCCAGAATTTAAGGATGATAAACTGAGATTATCTGGCTAACTCTGAGTGGTAATGGTCTGGGAGTAATTTCAACTAAACCTAGAGTTCCAGTCATCAGTGATTTCAGCAGTGACAGACCTTCAAAAGCAGGAAACAAGAAGCTTTTTTGGAAGTTCCTTATCAAAAATGGAATAACAAGCTGACCATCTCCCCTATGAATGCCTCATCATGGCATATATACTTTCTTTTTGGGGATGGGGAAAAGCTTTCTAAGGGCCTTGGCAGACGGCTTATTGAGCCGTCTCCGAGCCCAGGAAGAGGAGGAGCAGCCACACGCGCAGCGCTCCTTCCTCTCCCTGAGGTCGTCCTTGGAGCTGCTGGCCCTCCGCACGGCCGGCGCTCCGGGGATGACCTCCCGCCGCAGCGACCGGACGCACTGCGGCGGAAAATACAGGGAAAGTGCGCCCGACGCTTTTAGGGCGCACTTTCCCTGTCTTGAGGAAGGAGCACTGATTTAGCGCTCCTTCCAGGGATGCCGCAGGAGCGCTGGGGTGCGGAGGCTGCGGTCCCGCGGCGCTCCGTCCGGCGGCGTGTCCGGGGCCTCCGTCTGCTGAGGCCCTAAGTTCAAGAATGTTCTCAAAGACAAAGGCTTGCCTGAGAGACATCACTAACTATTTATCTTTACAAAAAGGTAGTAAGGACTTTACCACATGAGAAAAGAAAGGTGAAATGGATTGGGTGAGTAGCGGATTTCTCTGTGCCGCTCCTCATGATGTCATAGTACTTCCATTCTCTTCCCAAGGGGATGATCATCAAAGCATGTCTTTTGCCAAATGGATTTTTCCAGTGTAACAAAAGATAAATTCAACGACCATCTCTTCTCAGGAAGAGGTCAGAAGTGCTACGACGTCATGCTGAGCACCACAAAGAAAGCTGCTACTCTCCCAATCCATTTGTTCTTTCTTTTCTCTGGTGTAAAAATTTAAGAAAGATACTAATGAGTACTTGACATGCCCTACCTGGGTGATCTTGTCACTATGACTGTTGCCTTAATGCAGGATGTCCAGTTTTAGGTAAAACATTCTACCCGAAAGATATTTATGCTTAATGCCAGCTGATTTCTTCCTATGTCAACAGTGAATAGTTGCTGTTATTAGGGAATTATACTTCTGTAATTTTCCCTGATAGAAGAATAAAAGGAGGCAAAAGTCCCACATGCTTTTAAAGAAATATATTGGACATCACACAGCATGTGGGACTTTGGGCCTGAACAGACTGCCAGAAATAATCCAGTCTGAGACCACTTTAACTGTCCTGGCTCAATGCTAGGGAGTTATGGGAATTGTCCCCTGTCCCAAAGTGTTTTTTTAAAATAATTTAAAAAACTCACCCACTCAAAATGGCTGCCTGGAAACTGATTTCTTCCTCTTTCCTAGCAGGAACTGGCTTAGAAAGTTTCCTTTACCTTCTCTTTTCCTGGCAGAAACTGCCTGCAAAGCCTCCTTCTCTTTCTCCTTTCTTTCAGAAACTGGCCTGGAAAACCTCCTCCTCCTCCTTCCCCTGTCCTGACCAAACTCATATTAAATGTTATATGTTGTAGAAGCATATAATATGATATAAAGAACTATTTAGTAATAGTTCATTATAACCCAAAGTTTGAGGATGGGAAGTCGGTATTGGTTTTTTTGTGTTAATATTGTTTTTGTTTTATGCAGTCCATAGATCCATCAATACAAGCAACCCAAATTTATACAATATTAAGCAGGATAGTTTAACTCCATAACCACAATAAAATTAACATTTTCAATAAAAATATTTTAGATACTCTAGTCAATTATAGGAGTTTTCCTTCTCTCCAATCTTAACTACTAAAGACAAAAATTTGGCAACCAACATGGTCACATTAGATCATGTATCCTCTAACAGAACTTTGTCATAAAATTTATCTGACTGGCCAGGTAGATGGTATAATAAAGGAGTAACCAACTGTTCAAAGCAATGATTATTTTAAAAAATCAAGATAGTAAAAGAAGAAAGAAGAAAATATTTCCTCAGTAAAAGCTACTGTGGGATGGTGAGTTTGTGTGTGTATGTGTATGTTTGTTTGGTTTCTTTTTGCATGTCTTGGGGGGGGTGGCCAGTCTTGGGGTAATTTTTTGCATTTTCACAAGTAATTTTTCTTCTTTTCTGCAAATTGCACACTATGAGAAAAAGGCTGTTTCCATGTAGCATGAAGTAATAAAAATCATAGCATTGGATGAATTGTTTGTGTCTTTATGGTCCAATCAGCCTTCCCGGTTGTGTTTGAGTGTTAGTGTGTGTGTGTATGTGTGTACAAGTTTTGCTTTACAAAGTGCAAAAACATTAGTTTTAAACATAAACAAGGGTTTTACAAAAGTTATATTTTATATAAATTGCTAAAAAATAACTCACATTAAAACAAACAAACAAACACTTGGACCTTAGACTGTGATCTCCATAAGGTCCATTGAAGGGATCTATTGGCCCATCTCAGCTAGAATCTGTGATGGTGAGATATCTTCATAGCCCTAATTACTGTTTATAAAATTAATATTTTTTTTAAAAAAAAACTAGGAGAGAGAGAAATAATACTTCATTTGATTCAAGAAAGCTGCCAAACACCCAAATGAAGCCCAAGGTTACAAACTATATCAAAGTTGCTGGAAGGCACCATGTTGCTGGGGTGACCTCTGGATTGGTGTGGATTCTTCTTGCCTGTGGCAGTAGTCCAATTCTATTTGTTAGAGGTCTCCTGCCTTGACTGATCTCCTTTGTGTTCCAGAAGCCAGGAGGCATTTTTAAAGAACTTTTTTTTATTGTTTGTCTGCTTTCAATTCAGTTTGCCTTCTCTTGAAAGAATAAGCACACTCTTCTTTTATTAAGACATGTGTCTCTGTATATGTGTGTACCTGCATGTCTGTCTTTCCTCAAAGGGATTATACAAAGTAAATATATAAATATTTTTCTCCCTGATATCTGCTATGTGATAGTTTGTCACAAAAGGTAAGTAGTCAAAATTTCTTTATTTTGGCTTCTTCATTCTCTTCTTTCTTTCTTATCCCACCTCCTTTTGATACTCAGAAAAACTATAAACTATTCTCTTTGTAGTGGCCACATAAGGATTTTTCTTTTCCTGAGAAGTAAGTAAGTGCTCCGGATATAGTGTTCTCTGATCCTTTGCTCCGCTATATGGGAAAAAATGCCAACAAATTTGACCTTCCTGGGAAGAGACTGGAGAGACAGCACACAGAGATCAGCCTTCAACAGTTTAGGTGCTATCATGAAATGCATCTCCTTAGACAGGTAGTTTACTGAGAAAGGGGCAAATTATTAGATGCTTCTGACAGCAGATAAAGCCTTGAGAGAATTGGCTTAATGTGCAGATGTGAGCACAAACATGAAAGGGAAAGAACAGTAGTTGCACTTTTGGAAGCTCTTAAATTATATCTGAAATTTTTGGTGCTTTTCTGCAAGGCTGATGGAGATATACTGACTATCAGTACAAGTTCAGAGAAGTGAGAGTATGGCTTGTGATGGAAATTGACTTTTGTGAATGGGTAAAATTTCAGAGAGAGAAGAAAGAGTAAGGGAACCAAAGGCAGCCAGACAGGAAGGAAAAGTGATATGAGATAGAAAGAAAGATAGACAGTGTGGTGTAGTGGCTTGAGGATTGGACTATAAATCTAGAGATCAGGGTTCGATTTCCCACTTTGCCATGGAAAACCACTGGGTGATCTTGTGCGAGTCATATACTCTCAGCCCCAGAAGCAGCAAAAGTACCTGCAATGTATATAAAAGACATTTTAAAAATTATTTTCTGCTTTAAAAAAACCCTCCAAAATTTTGCATATTTGACCAGAGCCCATCTATCAGTGCCCATCTATCAATATTCATAATATGCATTGATGTACAGATATATGATATATATAAAATGTGGTTAAAAATCTTTAGATGAAGTAATTAACTCATAGATTCAATTAACTGTTAAAGAGCAGTTCATTGTTAATGGGGATTTTTGAAAACACACGCACACAATTTTCTATGAAAGCAGTTTTGCAGACATAACCACATTCCTAGATTATTCTTTAAAAAAAATCAAGAAAAGAACACAAATATTGGCTGGGAAAATCTGGGAGCTCTATTAGCTTTTTGTGCTGAACTCCAGCTCATCTGATTCTGCTAGTAATACATTGTATCCATGGATTTTCACACATTGCAAACAAATTTACTTATATCATAACTTTTTAACAAGTCACAGGCGTGAAAGAAAACTATAAACATAGGAAGTGCGAGCCATAATGGGCCTACATTGCATTTTTTTTTAAAAAAATACTATTTCAAAATGTATTCAATCTCCTTTAAAGGTCACTTTACATTTCTGCTGTTTGCATAATATTTGTGTAATATTCATTCTTTTAAGGTCATTGACTGTCAGCAACTGATGCTTAAGAATTGTGTGTGTGTATGCATGCACGTATACACTTGTGCGTGCAAGAGAGAGAAAGAGAGAGTTTCTCTGCTAATGGGATGGCTGCACTGATGGCAGCTAAAGCACTTAATTTCTAAGGCTGCATCTGCATTGTAGAAATTATGTAGTCTGACACCACTTTAACTGCCATGGCTCAATGATTGTAGGTTTGTGAGATATTTAATCCCTCTCGGACAGAGAGCTCTGATGTCACAACTACAAATCCCAGGATTCCATAGCATAGAGCACCTAGAACTCTTATATTTATTTGTTGTGTTTGCAATTCCTGGATAACTTTGTTTGTCCATTTCTTTGGATATCTACACTGTATTTCTAAATTGTTCGACCCTTGTTTTAAGTTACTTTAATGCTTGAAATTTGAGGACTGGAGGAAAATTTCAAGGTGGAGGGGTTTGTAGGAATTCTTATTTTGAGAGAATGTGCTCATATTGTCTTCCTTCATTGTTACACCTCTGCTTTGGATCTACCTTTATATGGTTCATGTTGGCTTATTAATAATTTTCTTGTCTGTTTCAATGAATGTATGAGAGACCATTCCCTTCCTACAGTAATACATCCAGTCTCCATGCTCTCTATCTGCAAGAAGTAGGCTGTATTTAACTAAAGTTGCATTCTTCCATCCAGCTGAGATCTCTGGCCAATCAGTCCATCCACACCTGTCTTTCAAGTTTTTTTCCAGAGTTTGTTCATTTGTTTCCAGACAAAAATATCCTACTGGTTCTTTTCATCCTTCCACGTTTCTGTTATGCCTGCTGTTACAATGCTCTCCTTTCAAACTGAGCACCCCACCTCCTCCAATCTGGCTTGGAGGCATCTAGAATCAAAACAGAAACACCTCTACATGATGTCCCTGGGAAAAATGTCCCCAAATGTCTTCTCTTCTCTCCAGTGAGTATTGATGAAAAGTATTGGTTGAAATATGAAACTGTACATGCCACATATCTTCAGTCTCTTCCCCCCCCCATCCTTCTTTTGTCATAATGTACAGTAATGACCGTGTAACACATTGCTTGCTCAAAGCTTCCTCAGGATCATTAACTGAAGAAAGGAATATTTAACTGTTGACTTTTGGTAATGACCATTACTTTCAGATAATAAGTTATTTCCCCTCAGTTAAAACTGGGGAGAATCCACAGAGCAGAACATTTGTTCAGTTAAAACAGAATGGAATACATCTGTCCAATAATAATTATGCCCCAGAGGTGGAACTGCTCATTTCCAAAACAGAATTGACAACTGGACTTGTCTGATTCATACAGCCTTGTTGAAATTTAATTTAGCAGGCTTCTTCTCTCCTTCGCTAAGCTCATTTTAGTGCATGGCAGCCTTTAAATCTGTGGGCTTTCAAGCAATGTCCTGTGTTTTAGAGAAAACTCACCTGCTATTGTAGATGAAAAAAAATTGCTGGAGAAGATAAAAATTAAGCAAATAGAGGGTGGGTGTGAGAGAGAGCTTCTGGTTTTCCTCTGTGACTTCTAAAAGGATTCGCAAAAGGAAAACATCCTTAGTAAAGGGCAACATGCTTTCAATGGCCTGAGCAATTTTCTAAACGTATAGCCTGTCTACTTTATTACCTTTGGATTGGTTCTCATTTTCTTCCAGGTTGTAGCAGTTGCTAAGGTGCAACTATGACTGCATCCACACTGCAGAAATAATCCAGTCTGACACCATTTTAACTGCCATGACTCAATGCTATGGAATTCTGGAAAATGTAGTTTTGTGAGATATTTAGTCTTCTCCATCAGAGTTCTGGTGCCAAAACAAACTACGACTCCTAGAATTCCATAGCATTGAGCTATGGAATTTAAAGTAGTGACAAACTGGATTATTTCTGCAGTGCAGACACAGTCAAACACTACATTTTTAGTGAATTGCAATTAACATTCATCTGTGAGCATGAATGCACAGCACACAATGCACATCACTGCAGAGTATGCATCCATGCACAATGCCACCACATGTGTCACTCTGCTTTTCCAACCTGAACTGAATATAAATGCACTTCATCAGGGGGGAATTCTAATGGTGTTTATGGAAAAACTTAGACAAGTATAAGACACCAGCAGTACACCTGCTACTGTATCTTTCAGTTCAAAAACCACTGTCTTCTGTGTGTGGTAGAAGCTGCTTTTCTCTGTTCTTGGCTGTTAAAAACAATAGCTAGCAGTGCAACTTTGACAATTTATGTCATTCTGCTGTGGTTTTAAACCATTTCTTTATTTTTGAAAAAAGAAAGAAATGCACAGTGGGCAGTAATAAGAAAAAAGAAAGAGAAGAATAAAAAAATGGGGAAGAAGACCCACATGCTTCCCTGCCCCAGCCAAAATATTTCAGCTCAACCCAGTGGAGATTGGTAGCTTCTATGTAGTGGTGTAGTGAATCCATTCTGGGGGTTAATCCAAAGTTATAGTATAGCAAACGTGGTGAACCTTATTCCCCAAATAGGTCCAGGACCTTGAATTACTCCTTCAAAGTTTAAATTAAAACTCACACTGGATTAACTGCCCAACTGACATGGCAGACACCTGCTGTCACTGCCCACTGAAAAGAGTGACCCAATTTTGTTACATGTTAATGAGATGGCTAATTAGCAGGCAAGACATTTTCTAAATAACCTTCTCATTTTCATGGTCCTATTTGTTGACTGACCTCATGAGGTTTTCATCATGATGTCATATTACTACAGGAACTAGGGGAGAACAAAATAGAGGTAGTCACTCAGCACCAGCTATGAAAATCATCACAGGACTAGTGGTGGTGAAAGTGCTAGGAGCAAATCAGCGTTTAAGAAATAGCTATAGTCACTGCTAAACTCTTGAAAATAAATCTTTTTTTAAAAAAAAAAAGAGAGGGAAAAGCATTGTCTGTGATTTGCTGTGATTAGTAAAGATGCTATGGAACGTGTCTAGTGAATTGTGAAGATGAGGATCAGGGCACTGGCAAGAATTCTCAACTGGGCTCTACTGTTTGCACATCAGGTCTCTCTACTTGGTGTCGCAATGCACATCAGGAAT